AATAATGCTGGGGTGACAGTCCTTGGTCCTGATATTTACTAAAGTAAGTATTAAGGATTAGAGATATGAACGTTCCCACGACACTCGAGTATATGTACGTAACCGGAACGATCCAGATTGATATCTTGCCAAGAACTGTCACTCCAACACCATTCCCTACAAGCTCTTTACTAAAGATTAGACATGGATTAGAGACATGTACCACAGAACAGTGGTAAGAGTTTTTACTTTTTGAATTTTGATTTGTGGCGTTACTGCAGAGGACCATCGATATATATGTATATGGAACAAAGCATATATTTATGTACATAAGTATGTATGTTTGGTTTTTATTCTAACTTTTTTCATCTAACAGAACCGCTGCCCGAGCGCCCATTAGAAGGACCTGGAGCTAAAGTAGACATATCCATACCTACGGAGTGTTTAGGTAGTGTGGCGGACTTTGTTAATGACTCCATCGGCTACCCAGACACAGAAACACTCAATGATAATGCTCATCGTGTAGATAGTGTTCCAGATCACAATCGAGATTATTATACGAAAGTTCCGTTCTTTAGTAAGGATATGAATGGTACGGCTCCAAAACCACCACCACGAGCGCAACGAATCGCACGTAAACAAAACTTACAAAACCGCCAACAACAACAGTTGCAACTACAAAATCAACAACCACAAATTAACAACGAAGCTGACACAGCGGAGCCTGTTGATGGTACCAAAAAGAATCACGGCCACGAAAAAGGTGATGTACCAAATTTGCAACAAAATTGCCATTTGTCTGTTAGTAATACTATGTCGGCACATAATATACCAGAATTAAGCGACTTGCTTGAGTTTAATAGTAGTAATCACTCAACTGCTAAATCGGAGGAGCTGAACAGGATCCCCATGCTTACGCTTCTGGATTCCAACATCGCCAACGCATCAGGTGAACTTAAAGACGCGCCAATCGTCGCTTCGACATCGAATGCTGCGGCGACGTTGTCGTCAGAAATTGGTTCTGGCGGTAGTCTGCCCCTTATCACTGAACTCAATTTGAGCACCAACAGTAGTGTAGCTTTGAATGGTGTGGGAAATAACTTTAGTTCAAATCAATTGTCACGGCAAATTACAACACCATCGCCAAATGCTCTAAGCGACGATAGTCACTGCAGTAGTCTAAGCAATGATAGCTTTGACGATGATGGCCAAAATGAATATAACGGTATAAACATGTCAGATGTTGGTAATGTTGATGCAGAATTAGATGGAAACTCAGGTGATCAAAGTTTGCCATGTCTAAGTGTTTTTGGACGACAGAGTCCAGGCAATGACTCGAGCTTGACTACTGTAACATGCACCAGTGGGGACAATAGCTTTGAATTCAGTTTGAATGATTCGAGTTCGACTTCTACAACCGACCCCACAGCTCAATGGAAATAAGATGTTTCGTATGCTGCGGCACGCATGTTAAAAATAAGATAAAAGCTAGTATAAGCATGTATGTATTCCAAATGATTTGCATAATTTAACATATGTTAAAGTTTACAAGGGTTTCCCTAATGATATAAAACATATAACATTAGATATTTAAAAGGGATCAAGCACGGCAAATCACAGTGGATTGTATATAATGTGAGAGTTTTTAAAATTTAACTGACAACGGAAGTCTAAACAGCTTCTGAATGATATAAGAAATGTAAATTGTAAAATATACCAAGTATTTTTAAACAAAGATGATCCTTGTAATGCGTTTCATCCCTTGTTTTTTTCATGTTTAAAAAATACAAAGTATTTTCTACGATTACTATTTAAACACATTAAGAATAAAAACAAAATTGTTCTAGTTAAAAAGGCAGTAGTGTATATCATTCAAATGTGAGATTGAGTTGAACTATTTTTATCAACCATATTATGTAAAAATTCCCGTAATAAACATAAATAAATGCTATAGGTTATATTAGTGTTAACAAAAATAAAAATAAAA